CTTCCCTTCTCTTCTTCTTCTTGTGCTCAAAACAGATAAGCCCTCTGTTTTGACTGTTGAGGCATATCAAAATAAACTGTGGGTTGTTTCAAGTTTAAACCTGCAAGATAATCATGGGGAACTTTTTCTCTAGTTCAATTTTTTCTTATGATTGTATAATGGAGGAGGTGCATGATGACTTTTTTGAATCCAAAACAGTTTGGCATACTATCTTGCAAAATAGTTCAGGATCCAAAATAGTATTTCTCAAGTTGTAGGGTATAGCCGGACGGCTATATTATTTTAAAAAACACATCAGGAAAAAATGGCTATACTATTTTTATTATTAAAAAAAGGGAAAAAATTCGCGTTTCAAGAAACATTAATAAATACGCCTATAGCCGAGCGGATATACTAAATTTTTATAAAATCAGAAAAAATTTAGTATAGCCGACCGGCTATACTATTTATAATTTTTTTTAAAGGCGCGCCATGCGATTAGGTGTACACTTGTCAAAATGTGTACAGCCGAACGGCTATACTATTTTTGAAAAAAATTAAAACAGAGAGTATAGCCGCGCGGCTAGACGCTTTAAATACATTATATTTAATAGTATAGCCGAAATTTTTTGACAGAACCTAACAACAAGGACCATTTGTGATCACACATACTAACCTTGAGGACCACGAATGACGCAGAAAAACATTAAAGATGTAATCTAATAGTTTCGTAAACATTATGAACGTTTTGTGATATTAAGCCTAAAACAATTATGAAAAATGGAACTTTTATCTTTTCTAATTTTCTGCATCTCTTTTCTTCATTTTTGTTTCACATCACCCTCTTCCTTTTAATTCTATAATCGAAAAACATAAACAAATACTATTTTATTTCTATTTTTATTTGAAAAAAATGAAACAAGTACATACCACAACGGTTATTTGAATTTGAAGGTTAATGCGTATAAGAAATTGCTTTGAATTTTTTCAAGTTCTGGCAAAACCCAATTTTAGCTGAAGATGACGAATGATGATTGGCGGTCATCAATACTGACAGCAGCAGAATGTGTCTGGGTTTGACTTCCCTTCTCTTCTTCTTCTTGTGCTCAAAACAGACAAGCTGTCTGTTTTGACTCTGGAGGCAAATCAAAATAAACTGTCAGTTGTTCCATGGAGAACATGCCGAGCATTTATCGCAGCTTGTGTGTTCTCGAATCGTAAGTCCACATGACCAGCGGTATTCCTGCTCATTGACATGAATGTAAATCAGACATGTGCAAGAGACAAAGGGACAACATAACTAATGCGAACAAATTTACTTGTCTACAAAGATATGCCTCAAATTCCCGTATTTTGAACACTCCTCCTGAACATCTTCTTTAATGTCCAAGTCAAAGTTTGGTTCCGTCTGCTCAAAAAGGAAGACAAATTATATAATATAACCACCAAGGAAATGAAGAAAATCTCTCAGTATCAGAAGAATCCACCACCAACCTCAACTGCTGGATCAAACATATTTTTCAACAGTAAACATTCACTTGGAACACCAATTGTATCTATAGAAGGAAGGGTAGAAGTACGAATTTGAAGAGCAGCAACACCAAGTCCAGTGATACCAGGAACAGCATAAACATATAATAGTCGTATTGTACATGTATGTACGTATTTTCTAATGTTTTATACACATTTTTTGCAAAATTTTCAGTAAGACACACAAAATTCACGTATTATACAAATAATTCTCACATATTATTGAATAAAATAATATGTCATGAAAATTAAATTAAAATATTATACAATGGGCGATTAATATTTACTTGGGATATGTTGAAACTGGCAAAAAAAAACAATACGTCAATCACTTCACTCAGGTCAACAACAAAAATTATGCAGTGCAGTCTTTCTATGCCAAACTATCACCCTCGGCTTTGCAGTTCTGATGTCTGCAATGCCTTGAGAGACAATGCATATCTTACTAGTTAAAGCAAAAGGGAGGGATAAGTGCCGAAACCAGTAAAATGATTACAAAATTCATGGATGCTATGTTATTTTGAATTATCAAGCTCAACTTCAATAATCTGCTAGCGAAAAAAACAACCTTGAATGAGCAATCTTTCCAATATCAAAGGTTAAAAAGCTGGCAGGAGTGCAAGAGATGGTAGTTCAAATTATTTTTTGACCTTATTTTTCTCATAGGAGAATGAACTCTAATCATTTAAGAAGTAAGAAATATATATCTACTCAAATAAATAAGAGAACAATAAACACAAAAGATATTAAGCCAATCGAACAAACTATAGATACCATAAGCATCAAGCAGCAAAAAAAGCTTAAAAGCAATGGAGCAGCAGCAGCTTCCATACATTCAACAATTATTCCCAGATATTACTCTGCCAGAGCAAACAGTTCTTAGCAATCATATCAGTCCACAAATTCTTTGTGTTAATAGAAAATAAAAACATAAAAGGAAAGATCTTACTAACCAAGCCACCACCTTCATTGTCATCAAAATCACTAGCATTTGCTCCAAGATCTTGCATTCCAGCTTGGTCTGTAACAATATAGTAAAGTGCCATTACCTTAATTAGTCGACCTGCAAACTCCAATTTTCCATTCAAACTCAGTGCATTTCTAGCATCTTCAAGATGTGAGAACTGCAAGTAACTGATTCAATGAGTTTGATTTATTCAATACAATTACAAGGAATCATATCCAGCATCTGATAAGAACAACTGCAATGGAATTGAACTAAAAGGAAGGGTAAAAAAAACATTGCCAACCCAACTTGATTTCACTGGCCTTTCAGGTTTTAAAATATTGTAACCTGAAATTGTATGATGGGTTGACCCTTAAGCCAACCCATGCCCGCACCTAGCTAAGGATTTGGCAGTTGAAAGTTTTTAGTGCCCACCCTTCTCAGTTTGAGTTGGGAAGAAACTTGAAAGACAATACACTAGATTCTTTTTAAATTCTGGTGCAGTAGAAGACCCAATCAAGAAAAGGTGTGCATTTGTTTGGAGTCAATTTCAAATTCCAACTCAAGCTACAACGAACCGGCAGTTGACAGTTTTCTTTTTCTTTCCTTTAATAAATTTCCCCTACATGGATTTGGACTTGAAAATAAATATAAATAAATAACAGAACTGAAGGATGCCAACAGTCTTTGAAGTTTTAATTAAACCATGTTATGGATTGCTTGTTGGTTGACCTTTGGCTTAATATAACTAGCTGCATGCAAACATTTATATATTTATTCTATATCCAGGCTGCTTAAGTTGAAAGTTGTAGTCAAATAGACCTGCACAAATCCAAAACCTTTGCAGTTGTTAGTTTCGTCAACAGGTAACTGAACCAGTTCTACAGGACCAAATGCTCCAAAAACCTGCATATATATCACATATTAAAGGGTGAAAGTCAAAATGCAAAAAATATTCACAATTACAAAGACGAAATTAGGAAACTGTGAACAGAAGTGCCCAAAAGCAACAACAACAACAAAAATTACATAACCAACAGCAAGCTTGATTGTGTACATTATCTGATGCCAACATTAGAACTGTGTCAGAAAAGTACTCAACAGCCTTCTAGCTCCGCCAGAATATGGGCCTATCATCCCACCTGGTCCGCTAACCACAGATGTTGATTGAACCAGATTCTTCTCAGCCTCTGATGGCTTCACCATCACTGGTTGACCAAGAAGAGGCTGACCAGAAAGTGCAATCGCCATACTGACATTGCAACATAAAACTCAATATACCTACAAACTAGACAACATTAGACTCTTGGATAATCAAAAACCAATTGCCACATACAGATGCATATAATAGCGAAGTTTACTGGAGTTTCCACACATAGTTCAAAACAGGGAAAGAAAAATGTCCTATATGATATATCTGATCATCTTGACCAACTAGAATAACCTGTAGTATATACTATATGTACTGCTTTTAGTACAAAGGCGATCAATATCATCATAAACTTTCTAAGATGATGGTGCAAATTTTGAACATTGTAAATGATGTGATGATTCTTCGTACTGCACAAGAAAACGATGGAACAAGGAAGATGCAGCCATCAAGAAGGAAGCAGGAACTGCCAACCATTCCAAAAATGACCAAGCGACATTAAAAGGATAGTCTTATTTGAACCTTAGAATGAAATCTTTGGTTTCTTGTCAACACAACCATACAAATTTTTTTCATTAACAACCGGATAATTTAGGACTCTCACATCATCTTAAACGCTACCATTGCATAATGGGTAATTGTTAAAGTGAACCTTCTGTTAACAACCATCCAAAGCTTTTGTCACCAAGACATAAGAAAAACTTACCCAACTCCCTTAGAACGTCTTGAATTGCGATCCATAATGAGGCGTACATCGCGGACCTAAAAATACACAATTCAGAGCTATTAGATAGGCAATCATAGAAATATACTAACAATTACATCCACAGAAGCACTTAATGGAAAACGTTATGGGTTTCCGGTATTTGGTTTAGTTGAAGCACTGCATCAGATAGTGTTAGGGTGCCCTTGAGAGCAGAAGGTGAAATATAATGCATTTATATCAAGAAGTCCCTTTTAGCCAAATAGTTTAAGATCTTTATCCACCATCCTCTATGATTTGTTAAATGAACATGAGATAAATAAACGAGAAATGTACAATCCTTGCCAGCCCTTGAGAAGAACTCGTATACATCTCTTTCATCTGCCTTCAGAAAAATCTGTCAAAGTTGTTCACCAAATCTTAATAGTTAAGATATGAGAATGTGAGAGATAGAAAGTTCAAGATAACACCATAGAATGCATGCACCAACATATTTGCTCTTCTATGGACCTGACTTGTGCTTCACTGCTTCAGCTTCCCAATCTCAAGCTCAAATTTGCAGCTAAATTTTTTCAATTTCGGGTTTCAGACTTTCAGTCAATCGCAGTGCTTGAAAAATCGGCCTAGAAGGGCGGCTAGGAAGTCGCTATGCGGGCTCTAGGCGGCTAGGAAGTCGCTATGCGGGCGCTAGGCGGCTAGGATGTCGCTAGGCGGGCGCTAGGCTGCTAGGATGTCGCTAGGCGGGCGCTAGGCTGCTAGACGGGTGATAGG